TGCATCATTCAGTATTTTTCCCATAAAAATCTTTCAATATTGCAACTCAAGGCTTGGATTTTTTCCTTCCATTCTTTCACCTTAACATATTCTGGGCATGTTCTTCCTTTGGGGTTTTTTATCTCCAGTTCTTTGCACATTTCAAATACTTTATCTTCTTGGACTTCCCTTTGAAATTTTCTGTTTAGCTTTTACTTTACCATTTCTGGGTGGGGGGGGAAATCTTACATTAGTCTTCTAATGGGTTTTCACATTCCTTTGTAACTCTGGTGGCCTAGTGAGGTGAGGGAGGGGAGGATCCATGAGGTGCACCTTAGGTTGCAGTTTGAAACCACCACCTACTCTGCAGGAGAAAACATAGGCTGTGATCGCCCATAAAGATTTATAGTCTTAAAAAAAAAAAGGTTTCTTGTCTAATAAACCCTAGGGAGCAATTCCACTCTATTCTATAGGGTCACTAAGATTAAAAATTGGCATGCTATATAGTGACCCCATAGAATAGAGTCCACTATATATTGACTATACAGCACTAGTCAATTTTTTGGTTAGGTAACCATTCCATTACATGCATTTGCTACAGTATGTTATTTCACCCAATTCCTGAGAGTAGGCAATTAAACTTTATTTTTCAGTGTTGGTTGTTTACGTTGTTTTGTTGCAAATATTAACCGCAGTGCAGTAAACATTCTTGTCCACCAGCATTTTAGCTGGCCCATTTTTTTCTCATGTTTTGCTATTATAAATAATGTTGTGGACATTCTGGACACATTTCCTGGTACATACATGCAAGAGTTTCATAGGATTTCGATGTCTTGCTAGGTTTAGGAGATGCAGACATTAATTTTCACAAGATAATTAATACCTTTTTGAAAGTGAGGAGGACTTGAGGCACCTGCTGATAAAGACCAAGGATTGCAGCCTTCGGTGTGGATTACAACTCTATGTAAAGAACACCAAAATCCTCACAACTGGACCAATAGAAAACATCATGATCAATGGAGAAAAGGTTGAAGTTGTCAAGGACTTTGTCTTACTTGGGTCTGCAATCAATGCTCATGGAAGCAGCAGTCAAGAAATCAAAAGTCATATTGCATTAGGCAAACTTTTACACAAGATCTCTTTAGAGTGGTGACAAGGGAAGAGGTTACCTGGAGGACTAAGGTGTGTCTGACTTAAGCTATGGTATTCTCCATTGCATCATGTGCATGTGAAAGCTGGCCATTAAAGTCAATAAGGAAGACTGGTACGAGAATTGGTGCATTTGAATGTGGTACTGGGGAAGCATACTGAAAGTACCAGGGACTGCTAAAAGGATGAACCAATCTGTCCTGGAAGAAATAAGGCCAAGAGTGCTCTTTAGAAGGAAGGATGACAAGACTTCATCGTACATCCTTTGGACATATTTTCAGAAGTGACCAGTCCCTGGAGAAGGACATCGTATTTGGTGAAGGGGGTTGGGGGGCAGTGAAAAAGAGGAGGGCCCACAAGGAGGTAGACTGACACAGTGGCTGCCACAGGGGACTCAGGCATAGGAACCATTGTGAGGTTGGCTGAGGACTGGCTAATGTTTTGTTCTGTTGTACATAGAGTTGACATGGGTCAGAACCACCTCAATGGCACTCAACAATAACAACAACAATGCCTTATTATTATTATTCATGGTACTTAAGACAGTTTATATCTCAGCAGCAAATATTGTGGATTCATATTGTTAATTCCTTACCATTAGTTTTTGTAACCTTTCTATTTGTTATTGCTAGACAGTATCTTTTTTTTTGTTTTAATCTTGGTTCATATTTGCTGCCAAGTATTTTCCACACCTTGGTCGATTCACCCTAGGGCAAACATGACCTTTTAGTGATACCATTCTCCCTCAGTCTGTCTCTAGCCAGTGCTTCTTGGTGTCGCAATCAATGGGGTTCTCAGATGCGGCTGCATCATTTCCTCAAGCAAATCTCAAGTTCCCCTCTCCAATCTACATAATAATGTGCTACCCCCTGCCAAACCATTCTCTAAGTCCTTGCACAAGTATGCACATACCTACACACTGTATTTGTCTTGTCCCAGTATACCCACTAGTCATGGTTTCTAGTTTCTGGAGATTTTATTTCCCCTGAAGATACCAGTGCTTGCATAGTACAGAACAATACTGTGTACTCGGTGCTCCTTAGAAGGAAGGATGGCAGGACTTCCTCTTACATACTTTATGACACTAACATTCATCTGCAGGAAGAAGATAAGCTGTCTGCTCTTGTAAAGAGTTACAGTCTTAGAAACCCTACTAAAGCTCACTGTGAGTAGGAATTGACTCAATGTAGTGGGTTTGGGTTTATGTTTGTATTTATATCAAAACTAATTGTGAGGAATGATTTATGTCATCACATGGCAGACTCTGGGACTATTCCTTGTGCACTTCATTGCATTTGCCACAGACACTGAAATTTCCGAAAGTCTCTCTGCTGGGATGGAGCGATGGTGGGATAACGGCGCTCATTGCAGCTGCAAAATATCCATCTTACATCAACAAGATGGTGGTCTGGGGGGCCAATGCGTATGTCACTGATGAAGATGAAATGATTTACCAGGGTAAGTCCAGGAACTAGACAGGGTAAGAAAACCAGAATCCTTCCCTGCCCTCGCCCATCATATCTCCTAATTCAGATGTGGAAGACAAGTAACGTCTTTTCAGCTTTCAGTCCTCCGCTCTACTTGGAAAACAGTGACGGGATCTCGGAAAAGTAGTGCAACTTCACCAGTCTGTTTACAAGATATCTATTTCTAGCAGTGAAACTTTTAGGAGTCAAAAAGACTAAGTAAACAGGGAAGGGGGCTGTGGTCACAGGGGCCAATGGGGGAGGTGTTGTTAATAACCTCATTTTCAGATAACATGAACTTGTAAAGGGGGGATATGTTATTCCAGTATGAAACTTTATATTTATTCCAAGAATTTCTGTTCAACTTGCAATTTTTAAAGCTTCTCCTTGAGGTTTTTAAGAAACACTAGGCATCAGCCAACTATAGCTCTTGTACCAAATCCAATCTTATACCTGTTTCTGTAAGGCCTCATCACCAATCTAGTGGGCTAGCACTGTGAGCCACTGAGAGCAAGCAGGGGACCTCTCTGCTTCTCCTCGTCCCACAACTCTCAGTGCTGATTCCTAGTGGGGGACTGTACCGAGCCATTGCCCAGGGCCAGCACTGGTGGCCACCTGCACATTGGCAGTTATTGGCCATTGCAAGGCACGAGTCTTGCAATTTAACTTGGGTGCTGGTAATCCATTGTGTCACCTCACCTCTGGCCAACTACTCAAATTGAGCTATTTGGACTCTCTAGAAAGACATGTGGGTGCACTAGGATGGATCTAGGTGTCACTAAGGTAGAAAGTGAAATTGATAGTGATGACTACACACACACACACACACACACACACACACACACACACACACAAACACATCCCTCTCCCAACCTGCCTTTGCCCACCACATTCTTTCCCATCAGGCTGGTGGCTTTTTGCCCAAAGTGTGTTTCTGGTGGACAGCAGGCCCACCCTAGACTATTAGGGGGAGGCAGAGCAAGAGTCTCACTATATTTTGCCTCTTGCCCTGCAAAGCTTAAAATATTTCAGACTGGCGCTTTACAGAAAAGACTGTAAATCCTTGCTCTCGAATACCCCAAGCTTGTCTTTTTCAGCTAGTCTGTAGTTCCTGTGACTTTACAGCAGCAATTTAATGGTGATGTTCTGTTGTGGATGGAACCTTTGTTCTTTACCAGTCTGTCTGTTCAGTCAAGTGCTGTGAAATTCTTACATGATAAATCTGATTTCTTACCAATGCTAATCTATCCTCTTATCATTATTGCTTTCCTCCCTGGGTTAAAAGAAGAGTATCTGTCTTGTGTAAAAGTAAAACTATTCTACTTTGTTGCTATAAGGGTCTTAAAGGCAAAGACTGTCTCATTTTGTATCTACTGTGACTAACACAGCAGACTCAGATCCATATCCTTGATTAGCTCATTTAATAATGGACAAATGAATTTTCTTCTATATGATTGTAATGATTGACAAAAATTACATGCCCCCAAATGAATAGATCAGCTTCTCTTGAGATCCAAATTAGTTCTTTTCAAGAATTAGCAACCACTTTCACTCAAATGGTTATTTGAGGAACTTGATTTTTTAACATAATTGCCACTGGTTTTTTTAGGTGTGTGAATTATATTTTTGTATAAAATAGTTTCCTCCTGAAAAAGGTCGATAGAAATAAATATACACAATATTTTTGAGTTTGGTGTAGCGGTGACTAAGTTGGGCTGTTCTCCTCATGGTCGGTAGTTCAAAGCCACCAGCAGCTCCACAGGAGAAAAACTGGGCTAAAACATCTTGGCCTTCATTTACATCACAGGAGACTTTTTCTCAATCAAATTTTATAATTAATTGATTAATGTACTTAATAATGGATATGTGGTGTTTTTATTGGGTAATATTTGATACATGTGACATCTATAGATTATGACACCCATGAATCAACTACAGAAACAGGCATAACCAACTAAAACTACACCGGTCCCATCAGGTCAGCTGCCACTCACAGTGAGCGCACGTGCTCCTGGGGAGAACTACTGCATAGGACGTGTCAATCATCCTCACAGCAGCCGATCACTAGGCCTTTGTTTTATGGCATTGCCGGGTGGGGTCAAGCCATCCATATTTTTGTTTCGTTTTCCTCTTTTAGATGAATCCTTTATTCGTTTCTGTAATCAAACCCACTTAGATATTACATATTTAATACAGTGTGTTACCCCTGTACAAATGGGGAAAAAATTAAGTGTAACGTTTCTGGACCAATATGACTGTTAATTTCTGTACTATGCCAACTCAACAACTATGGTACTTTTCCAAAGTTGACAGCACAGCTAAAGTTTCCAAAACTTCAAATTATGTGTGTTTGTTTACTTATTTATTTATATAAAAAGACCAGTCGCTGTGCTGTGTCCCAATAGCAGTAACAGCTTTTCCAAGTTCTGCCATCATCTGAGCAAAATCACAGAGACATCCAGCACACTCCATTAAAAAAGAAAAACTATATACAACAAAACCTCAGAAAATAGCAAAGTTCTGTAACTTGTGGTTCTTGGCACCACGTTTTGAAAAATTAGCCTCTCAATCATCAAGTGGGTAGTGTGTTTCTAGGTATCTGTCCATTTCTTCTAGATTGTCGAATTTGTTTGAGTACAATTTTTTTAAATTTATTAATTTTATTGTGGGACTCTTACAAATCTTATAACAATCCATCATTTTTTTTATAGTAGTGTGTTGTTATTCGTTTTCTTTCATTTGAATCTGTTGTAATGTCACT